TTTATATGTTTGCACCATTGTTGAAACTATTATGTAAAACCATCTCACTTAAACATGATGGCCCCTTATTAACTCTTAGTTCCCAAGGCCATCTGCATTTCGACCACCTTCTGTTCACGCTTAATTCCCACTGGTCCTCAGCCTCCTCCCCAGGCTCTGTCCGGCCAGGTTCCCCAGGGCTCCAGGCTAGCCCTTTGCTTTTCGAGCAGGTGAGTGGCCCTCACCTACAAAGCCAGTCCCTCCTCTGATCCCTTTGATAGGCCCATCTTTATTTCCGAGAATCTGTACACGTTGGCCCCTTAACGGTATGTGGTCTGGCAGTGCCTCCGGGCTCCATCTTTGCATTCATACCTCCCTCGCCCCCACCTCCTGACATCTAGCACTAGAGAACAGAGGTTGGCAAGTATATTCTATTGTTGTTATGTGCCCTACCGAGCCGTCCTTGGCTTTCCGAGGCAGTATCACTACAGAAGTAGAATGCCCAATCTTCCTTCCGAGAAGTGGGTGGCGGGTTTGAACCACCAGCCTTAGGCACTATGCTACCAGAGCTCCTAAGTATATTCTAAGGTTGTGTAATTACAAGGTTCGAAACCTGGACGAGCCCGAGGGCGGCGTTCTTCTCCAGGGATGCTGCTGGGTAAGGTGCAGGGCGCGGACAATGTGGAGAGATTGGAGTCCCCACTAGATCCGGCCGCCGCGGGCGTTACTTAGCCCAGCCAGTCCGGAGCGGAGCTGGAGGGTTCCGCGTAGCCCGCCCGCCGCCCTGGCGGCTCTTTGTGTTAGCATCAGGTGCAAGCCCGGGAACGCAGGCCTTGCGCGCCCGCGTCCGGAGCGCGCACCGCCGGGCCGGCGGTCTTCCGGAGGATCTACGCGCCGGGGGCTGCGGTGGGGGAGGGAGGAGGTCTGACACGTAGCCCGCCTCGCTGCAGGACCGACTCCACGCGGGCGGGCGGGCGGGGGAGCCAGGGACCCGCAGCTCCAGCCCGCTGGCCTTCGAAAGATCCTCCTGGGCCAATGGCAGGCGGGGCGACGCGCCCGGATTGGTGCAGGCGCTCTGCTGATCACTGTGGAAACCCGGGCGGCGGGGAACGCGGGAGGATGCGGAGCCCGGAGCTGGGGGGGCCTTGAGCGCCACCGGAGTCTTACTGGAGGCAAAAGTCCATCGGGGCGGGCCTAGGGAGGGGCGGAGGAGGGGACCGCTTGGGGGCACTGGAAAGCCAAGGATTTGGCCGGGGGAGGCCTGGGAGACTCCGGACGGAAGGCGAGCTGGCTGGGGGAGGGGGCACCGTGGGAGGCGGAGTAGGAGAAGACAAAAGCCGAAAGCGAGCTGGGCCGGGTCCGCACACTCGGGCAGGAGGGGCCGTTTGTGCAGCGAGCAGCCGACGCAGGGAGGCCGTAGCGCACGGGGCTCGTAGTGCACGTAGCGCTCGGCAGGCAGCATGGGGAAGGGGGGCAACCAGGGCGAGGGCGGCCCCGAGCGCGAGACGACCATGCCCACCTTCAGCTGGGAGGAGATTCAGAAGCACAACCTGCGCACGGACAAGTGGCTTGTCATCGAACGCAAGGTCTACAACATCACCAAATGGTCCAGCCGGCACCCGGGGGGCCACCGCGTCATCGGGCACTACGCGGGGGAAGATGCTACGGTAAGATCTGGGGGCTCTCCCAACCCCCTTCTCTTGTTAACCGACGGGAGTCAGGCACCCTGGGTCCCTGGGCGCCAACCAGACCTCCGGCGCTGACTGGAGCTCGGTGCGTCTGGGAAGGAAGGAAAGTAGGTCTGTTGCGTGCTCCCCGCCCCGAATCCTGCTCCCCTGGGACAGCTGGATCAACTTGGGAGTGGCGGGGAAGTCCCATTTTGGACCCCGGGAGGCAGCGCCGCGGTGGAGATCCGACCTGTGGGGAACCATGCGCGAGCTGCCCCGTGCGCTGCTACCCACGTCCGCGCCTTTCGCCGGGTGCTTTCGGAGTGGGGGACTTTCCACAGGGGGCGCTCCGACTCTAAGGTTTTGGCGCCCCCAGCATGGAAGATGGCCGCCCCTGGGCGTCACAGGAGGAAGGGGTGGAAGCGGAGGCAACCAGGTGTGGGGACTCGGCGCGCCTTCCGTGCTCTCCCGCCAGACCAGGGGCGAAGGGAAGCCCGTCCCCGGCCGGCCCTTGCTCGCTCTTGCTTTGCCTCTTGTCTAAGGTCCGCGGTGGCTGCCTGGAAAAGAGACCGCCTGGTAGCTCCTGTTCCCACACTCCCAAGAACTACAAGGACCAACCCCGAGGGCCAGCCTTCTTGGGGAGTGGGTAGAGGATTGGTGGGAGGAGAAGAGGCTCGAGTTTGCCAAACCTAGTTCGAGAGGGCGCCGAGAGCCGGTGAACTTTAGCGGCAGTAGCCTGGTTTAACAACAGGTCGCAGCTGTACCCTAGGTTACTGGCGGACGTTCCCCTCAAAGGCCCTCTGTCTCTTAAGCCCTGCCTGGAACGCCCTTTCATCTTCCTGCACACCTAGAGCTAGGGGCTGCGGGGCCTCCCCGGAGCCACGGCTGGCCTTCTCACCAGCTCCCAATGTGGGGCTCAGCCGTTCGGTAGCACCCCCACCGCACCCCACTGTGACCCCCAACTCCCAGTCTTAGAGCCTTGCATTTCTTTCAGGTGGACCTACAAGGGTTGCAAGGGAAAAGAACAGAAGGAGAGAGGAAAGAATTGGGCTTCTCTAGGCAATGAGCTGGAAGCAGGAAAAAAAACTGCCGGGGGCTAGAAAACGTGAGGAAACGGTGAACAAGGAGAGGCTGAAGGGAGGGGCAGATTCCTGGAGGAAGCTCGCTCCATGGAAGGTTTAGAGTGCTGACCCCTTGGTGGGGCTTGACTGACCAACCTAGGGGTGGGTGGAATTCTTCACTACCCCACCTCCTTCCATCTCGCCCAGGGAGGCCAGGTGGATAACTTTAACAATCACTAGCTACTGGGCATCTGGGATCCAGTGGTCCACTCACTCACTGCCTGACTGCCTGGTGAGCAGGACCTAGGCTTACTTAAGCTGGAGAAGACCGTCAACCATATCTCCTATTGCTTTTAGCCCCATCCTCTTTTACCAGATTGTGAACACTGCTCAAGCCCTCAGGGTTGGTGATGCTAATCTTAGGAGGGTTTAGGTTTGTGCTCACCTTCTGGGTTACCTCATTTGGACCTTTGCATGCACTGAAGAGCCCGAGTTAGGGTAACCAGTTGTGGACAAGTTGATTCTGACTTATAGTGACCACATGGGTATCAGAGTAGAACTGCCCTCCAGAGGATTTTTCAATGGCTGATTTGTTTTGGAAGTAGATCTGGACTGGAACCGCCAACAGCAGAATGTGGTCACTGCTTGCGCCACCCAGAGACTCACTGCTGTCGAGTTGGATCTGACTCAAAGCGGACCCTCCTTGGGTTTCCAAGGCGGTATCACTACAGAAATAGATTGCCCCATCTTCTTTCTGAGGAGTGGCTGGTGGGTTGGAACCACCAGCCTTCTGGTTAGCAGTCAGATGCCTTAGGCAAGATGATGGATTGATCTGAATATTCCATCTTCTTAAATAAACATGTTTTCTTATGTGAAACTCCCCCTGACATCTGCTTTGAACTGATAGCTTAATAAGGACATTGGGTTTATTGGGTTTATTTCATTTTTTCTTCAAGGTCTTCTCAGCACTTGCCTGACATTAACAATGAGTTTTCTCTGAAATTAGCTTTTAGATCAATCCCATCAGGCTAGTGGGGTCTGAGGGTTGAGCTTTGCCCCTTGGGGTATATGCTTTCCCTCTGAGCTTGAGGACTAACAGAGTGTTTATGGGCCATGCAAAGTTAGAGAACAGACTGATCGGCAGATGGAGTTAGAATCCACTGGAACACTCAACACAGTGCAGTAATATCCTAATGAGGGTATGGAAGGAGAGGCTAGAGGTCAGAGGAGTCATTCTTGGGGCAGTTTGGGCCCTCAGGGAGCGTTTTCCTGTCTCTGAAGAAGAGAAGACCCACCTCTTCCCAAGAAGGATGACCTAACAGGGCAAGGGCAATAGACATTTAGTCTTTCTGCAGAAGGTGAAACTTGGTCTTGCTGTAATAATAGTTACTTCATTTTCGTAACTCAACAGAGCGCATTCATATATTGTTATTGTTTGGTGCTGTCCAGTCGGTTCTGACTCATAGTGACCCCATGTACAACAGAATGAAACACTACCCAGTCTGGCTCCATCCTCGCAATCCTTGTTATGCCTGAGCCCATCGTTGCAACCACTGTGTCAGTCCATCTTGTTGAGGGTCTCTTCTTTTTCACGGACCCTCTGCTTTACCAAGCATGGCATCCTTCTCCAGGGATTGTTTTCTCCTAATAACGTGTCCAAAGTAAGTGCTAAAGGGGCAGGGAGGCCTCATCTTCTGACCTCCTCTGACCCCACAAGAGGAAGACAGAATCGCCATCAGTAGCCCAAGGACTATTCCTGCGAGGCCAAACATGCTGCCTCCCTCCAGCCCTTTCTCCAACCGTTCCTCCCGCAGCACCCACCACCTCTCTGCTGGGTTTGATAATTTACTGAAGTGGCCACACAGAACTCACAGATTATGGGGTTTATTAGGGAAGCACTAGACTACAATTTGAGTTCAGAAGTGGGACTCAGTCTCTTGCAGCTGGCCATCTCACTCAGCAGCCGGCAGTCTTGGTAGCACATCGCGCTCTCAGTAGTGCGTGTCTCTCACGTCTCTCTCTCAGCAGCGTGCGTCTCTCATGTCTCTCAGGAGCACATTTCAGCAGCACATCTTTCTCAGCCAGTATTCAGAGAGACCCCTTCTGCCTCTAGGAGGGCTCCTTTCGAGCCTGGCAGAGTTGCCAGACTATCCAGCCCCAATATACCTGAGTGAATTCTATACACCTGAGAGTGAGAGAACTTCCCAGAAAATTACTTAGTGCTGCTCCCAACAGAGGGACTTCTGGTAGTGTCATGCCTAAGTAATTTGACTGCTAACCAGAAGGGTGGCGGTTCAAACCCACCAGCCACTCTTCAGATGGAAGATTGGACAATTGACTTCTGTAGTGATATTGCCTCAGAAACCCAGGAAGGGTTCGCTATGAGTCAG